AACAATTCCCATTATACACTTAGGAACACAATTCCTAACCTAGCAAATCCAAAAACATTTTATTTCACCCTAAAATCACCAAATTACATTTCCCCAAAAAAATAATCCCCATTGTACAGTTCATAAAACAATTTGTAACATAATATAAACCCAAAGAACATTTAGGGACCCTGACACAACCCTGACGCAACCCTAATAATATCTGATGATGTTACCAGTTACTTGGACTTTATAAATCTCATGGCATACGACTTCCATGGTAAATGGGAAAGAGAAACCGGACACAACGCGCCATTATTCGCATCATCCTTGGATTCGGAATGGCAAAAACAATTGAGCGTTGACAATGCTGCATCGATGTGGGTCAGATTGGGTGCACCTAAAGAAAAATTGATCATCGGTATGCCCACTTATGGTAGATCGTTTACACTATCAAACCCATCAAACTTCCGTGTACATTCAGCAGCAAGTGGTGGTGGTAAGGCTGGTGAATACACCAAGGAATCCGGTTTTTTGGCTTATTACGAGGCAAGTTATTATTATTATTATTAACTTATATTATTATTTTCACCATTAAAATTCATTCCAATGAAACAGAATTATAAATGGTTTGTATTTATGGGTTCAGATTTGTGAAATGTTGCAAAATGGTGCAGCATATATCTGGGACGACGAGATGAAAGTACCATATTTGGTTTACGGTGATCAATGGGTTGGTTTTGACGATGAAAGATCAATAAGAAATAAAATGCATTGGTTGAAATCAACCGGTTATGGTGGTGCCATGGTATGGACAGTAGACATGGACGATTTCAATGGAACATCTTGCGTTGGTAATGTTAAATATCCATTGATCGGTGCTATCAGAGAAGAATTGAGAGGAATTTCTCGTGGTCCAAATGCCAAAGATGTTGATTGGAGTTCGGTAGCAACAACCATAACTGAAACTATTGTCAAAAAACCAGAACCATATAAAATTTCCATCTCGGATGCATTGAGCAAGGCCAAGAAAGTACCCAAAGTTACGCAATTGGTTATTAATACACCCACTAATGGTAAATGTTATGCTAATTATTTTTTATTGGGGAGAGGGGAGGGGAGGGGAGGGGAGGGGAGGGGGGCTTTCAAAGGATGATTTTGATTGGATCATGTTTTTTTATAGAAAGGGAAGCACAAGCCATTTGTTATTTGACCAACTGGTCCCATAAGAGAACAGGCCTTGGCAAATTCTTGCCCGAGGACATTGACCCAACCCTGTGCACCCACGTCGTCTATGCTTTCGCGACCTTGAACGATCATATGTTAAGTGAAGGTAGCGATCAGGATGTTGAAATGTATAAACGATTGATAGCACTTCGTGAAAAGAATCCTGACATTAAGGTACGAATATTTTTTATATATTTATTCTTTTTATTGTTTATTAATTGTTATTATTATTGTAATAATGTTGGAATGATTTATCAGATATTGTTGGCCATTGGTGGTTGGGCATTTGGATCGACACCATTCAAAACTTTGACTAGCAATACTTTCCGAATGAATCAATTTGTTTATGAGGCTATTGAATTTTTGAGAAAATACAAATTCGATGGGTTGGACGTTGATTGGGAATATCCACGGTAATTGAAATATTTTATAATAAATAATAGTAATATTTTAATTATAAATAATTAAATGGAATTTAGTTTTGATGAATTTTTTTATGAGTCACACTCAAAATTTGGGTGCAGAGGTTTGCACATTAAAGGGAACATAAAAATAATATTAATTAATATTTAATTTAATATATAATTTATTTATCCTCTTTTAACCACTTTCGTTGTCAATTTTATTATAAATAATCGTACCACAATTTTTATTTTTCAATATGAGTTAAAATTGCATTAAAAATATTATTATTTATTTATTTAATTTCACTGAAACATTAACAAATTATATTACAAACAATAAAAATTGTCCAATATCCAACTGTACTTCAATAAAATAATTTCAATTACTTTTCTAACAAAAACCTTTTTTATTTTATCAACGCAAGTGGTTGAATGAAAAATCAAAAAAACCTACAAAAAGTTGTATAACCAACAAAAAAAAATTAATTTTTCAGTGGAGCTGACGATCGTACAGCTTACGTGAATCTTCTGAAAGAACTTAGGCTTGCTTTTGAGGGTGAAGCTAAGAGTTCAGATCAACCTAAATTAATTTTATCAGCTGCTGTACCTGCCAGTTTCGAAGCCATAGCTGCAGGGTAAGTAAACAAAATTGATTGGGGATTGGGAAGGAAAGTAGAGGGGGTTTTTAGGTTATTTTTTTTATAATAATAATAATAAAAAAATTGAATGGTTCAGATACGACGTACCAGAAATATCCAAGTACCTGGACTTCATCAATGTGATGACGTACGATTTTCATGGTCAATGGGAAAGACAAGTTGGACACAACAGTCCACTTTATCCATTGGAAAGTGCAACGAGTTATCAAAAGAAATTAACTGTCGTAAGTGTCAATTAAACAAATTTTTTTGAACATTGTCTGATCAAAAGGTTGATTTTCAAAGGTTCACATTGAATTTTATTATCTGTTTTCTTTTCTTTTGTTTTTAATTTAATTTTGTAGGATTACAGTGCACGAGAATGGGTTAAACAAGGTGCACCGAAAGAAAAATTGATGATAGGTATGCCAACTTATGGCAGATCGTTTACATTAGTCGACCAAGACAAATTTGATATTGGAGCACCTGCTTCTGGTGGTGGAATACCTGGTAATTATACCAACGAAGCTGGATTCTTATCTTATTACGAGGTAATTTTATTTTATTTTTATTCCTGACTTATATATTTACATAAACTAAATTCAAAAAAAAATCCTAACCTATAATCCAAAAAACCAATCCTAACTCAAAATCAAACAAAATCCCTAACCTAAGATCAAAAAGAATTTCTAACCTAAGATCCAAAGAAATCTTAACTTAAGATCAACAAAAATTCTAACCTAACATAAGATTAAACAAAAATCCTAACCTATAATCCAAAAAAAATCTTAACCTAAAATCAGCAAAAATCTTAACCTGTAATTCAAAACAATCATAACTTAAAATCCGAAAAGATACTAACCTATAATCCAAAAAAGTCCTAACCTAACCTAAAATTAGACAAATCCTAACCTAAGATGATGTAATTAATAAAAAAATTACGAATCATGTTAGGTTTGTGGATTTTTGAACGAAGAAAACACAACTTTGGTATGGGATAGCGAACAACAAGTACCATTTGCTTACAAAGGTGATCAATGGGTTGGTTTTGATGACGAAAGAAGTCTTATAAACAAAGTAAGTTAACAATTAATCATAGATTTAATTAAAATACTTAAATAAATGTAAAACATTGTATTCTTACATTTGTATTTTTTCAGATGAACTGGTTGAAAGAGGAAGGTTTTGGTGGCGTTATGATTTGGTCAATCGATATGGACGATTTCCGTGGATCATGCGGTGCAGGAAAGTATCCATTGATCAAAGCAATGAAAAAAGAATTGTCAGATTACAAAATCAAATTGGAATACGACGGACCTTACGAAACATTTTCTAGAAATGGCAAATACACAACGAAAGATCGTAAGTATTATCAAAAACAATTATACAATAATTATACAGAAATTATATTTACAACATAAACACAAATATTTGTTAATAAACCTTTTCGTTACTATCAACCCATATGAAGGATTATCAATGATTAAAGGTGTGGGCTAATGGTAGATATCAAATAGAAATCAACAAAAAACCTAACCTAAGATCAGCAAAAATCCTAACCTAAAAACAAAAAAAATTCTAACCTAAAATTAGCAAAAATCCTAACCTGTAATTTAAAAAGATCTTAACTAAAAATCCATAAGAATCCTAACCTATAATCCAAAAGAATCCTAACCTAAAATCAGCAAAAATCCTAACCTGTAATTTAAAAAGATCTTAACTTAAAATCCAAAAGAATCCTAACCTAAAATCCAAAAAAGTCCTAACCTAAAATCCAAAAAAGTCCTAACCTAAAATAAAAAAAAAACCCTAACCTAAAATTTAAAAAATCGTAACCTAAAATGAAAAGAAATCCTAACCTATATAAATAATAGTATCAAAGTGTATGTATGGTAACGAAAGGGTTAAAATAATTTATCCTACCCTTTCACATAAACAAAAAAAAATGAAAAACACTTCTTGAAGATATTCAATCGAATCAAATCATGTTTAATTTTTGTTTTATTGTTTTTTTTTCTTTTTTTGAAGCGAATGAAGTGACCTGCGACGAGGAGGACAATCACATTTCTTATCACCCTGACAAAAGTGATTGCACGATGTATTACATGTGTGAGGGTGAACGCAAACATCACATGCCCTGTCCTGTAAATTTAGTTTTCAATCCAAACGAGAACGTCTGCGATTGGCCGGAAAATGTTGAGGGTTGTTTGCAACATACCCAAGCACCGCCATTGAGGAAGTAAACGGAAATGATGAGTGAGGAGTTCATAGGATTTGAAACAAAAAAAAAAGGAAAAAGAAATCATCTTTCTTTTTTTTTTAAACCCGCGACAGATGTGCAATTGAACAACAAAAAAAGATGAAAAACGTGGTAATAATAAGTAATCGTTAAGTAGATTTTAAAAACAAACGAAAAATATACATAAATATATATATAAAAAAAAACAAAAGTAAAACGAAGAAAAAAAAGTAGACGAAATTTTGAAAAAGAAAACAAAACTAAAAAATAAGATAACAAATCGAAAAAAATGGGTACGTATGGTAGTGTCAAGGTTGCGTCAGCATAAGCGATTATCGATCGATGTTAAAACCCCAACCCCACTCCCCCATTTTCACCCTTTTCCCCTAGGGTCTAGTTATACTTTGATTCTATTTTTTTTTCTTTAAATTTTATTTTTTTTCTTTGTCTTTTCATACTTTTCCCTTTCTCTATCTCTTTCTCTCTCGTCCGTGTCTCTCTCTCTCTTTTTTCCTCTCTTTAATTTTCCCTTTCTCTTTCTATTTTTATTCATCCCCTCTCCACTCCCATTTCTTAGACAAAAAGTCCTTTCCCCATTTTTAAATAAATATTATTACTTATCATTTGTATAAAGCATGGACGAAAATCACGAAGTAAAGTTATTTATAAATAAAGAAAAACTTAACAGACATCCGATTGGTTCATCAGTTTGTTTCACACACATGAACTTTCATTTGATCTTTTTCCCCTTCTTCTTTTAAGCAAATAAATTCGTTTGAAGGGATTTAACGTGAGGGATGACATGTACATGTACGTTCGTAAACATTTGATAACAAATTTTGTACAATGTGTCAATCTAAAATTTCATTTATCATTCATCGACATACTCAAAACAAACACACTCACACTTAAAAATAAAAAATAAATGATCATGTTTTCCTTTACTTTGTGTTAAATGAAAAAACATATATGATTCACAAAATTACTTGAGTGTTTTTCACATTAAAAAAGAAATAAATCATTTTTCTCGGTAGTTTTTATCTTTGAATACAAGAAAATTATGAAATCTTGCGATTTTTGGTAGATATTTGAATAAATAAAACCCCTGTGAACAGTCAACACTTCATACAATGTCGATAACAACGATTTCTACCGTCGTTTTTTTACTCCTGTAACAGGCAACCCTTCATACACTCTTGTAAGAAAAACTGTACGTTCAGGAGTTTTTAATTCTAACCAGCACCGAAGTATAAAAGGTTGCATATATTTAGGAGCATTATTACAATCTATTTAATATTAAATTTTTAAAATTAAAAATTAAAAAAATATAAAACCCACGAATTAAATTAATTGTATTAATATTTCAAACAAAAAAAAATGTCATTTATATCACTCATACATTTTAACTTATTTACTATTCTTATACTCATGAAATCGTTCACACTTATACATATTAAATATGTATATATATATATACAAAGGATATGTATACGATATGTATACAATTAATATACGATATGTATACATTTTTTAAGACTAATCTAAAATGTTTCAAGAATCAGAGATTTAATAGTCCTGTAACAAGTTCGTTGTATACCAAATTTGAAAACTGCCTTTTCTTGTTTTCAACACACACACACACACACACACACACTCATACTCTCACACAAATACACTTCGAATAAAATGAATTTTTTTCCTTCGAAGTATCGTGTGAAGTATTACGAGAAAAGTTATGAAATTCCTTTTCGTTTAATCGTAGAACAAAATTATCAACGACGAATGAGTCATTTAGCAAACAACAATAATACGATCAATTGTATAAGTGCTAACCAAGTCCTAGCAAGTCTTTCGTAATTTCCAGAACTAAGTGCAGATGCTTGACAAGCTGTATGAGGTGTTCCCAATGTTAATAGAACTTTGTCTGACGAATATGAAGGTGTTGTTTCAGTACAAACAGCACGACCAGCAATAGTCCTTAATTGTCTAGCATCTGATTGTGATGCTGTATGAATTTGACGTGATTCACGTAACCATCTTCGTAACCATAAACTTAGCCATGCTATCTCGCAATCACATTCCAATGGATTACCCGATACTTGTAATCCACCTAATAACAAAGTTTCGAAATTTTTTGTATTATATATAATTATAATTATATTTGAATATATATAATAAGTGGAATATTAATTATAATATAAGTATTTTAAGAATAATTAATTAATATAATATAATTATATATATTATAATAAAAAATAAGGAAAGTTTTATACCCCTGTGATAAGCAACACTTCATACAATGTCGATAACAACGATTTCTACCGCCGTTTATATGTAAAACACAAGTTTTATACCCCTATGACAGGCAACACATCATACACGTCTGTTGTAAGAAAAACTACCAGCAGGGGTTTTCAATTCTAACCAACACCTAAGTATAAAGTGTTGCATATATTCAGGCGTTATAACGTTATAATATGAAATAATATATTAAGAACTTTTAACAAATTTATAACAATTTAGATATTTACCTGCAACCATATTGGTGCCAACAGTTTCCCATGATAAATTTCCATAAATAATAGATGGACTCAACTCGTTGATGTGATTGTCCCTCAAATCTAATGTCAATTGAGTCAATCTTTTTGTCAACGATAAAAATATGTCCGACTGAAATCTTCTAACACGTGTGTTCTTAATTCTTAGAATTAATTCACCACCTTCTATAGTTGAAAAGGCTTCTGATGAAATGACTTCTAAATCAGCACCGGTTATTGTTAATTCTCTTAATTGTTTTGTAAATGCATTTTGTATCTGATGTTTCAACGAATGTTCCGTGACTTGTATTTCAACAGTACGTAATGGTAAACCAATGACCATGTCACGTAAATTAAATCCATCTGCTTGTGGCCATGTTTGTAATTTCAAATGTTTCAAATATCTCAATGATCTTAAAGAATCCATGTCAACTGTACGAGTTCTATTCAAATTTCTCATATCTAATTTTTCTAATCGTAAATAACCATAGAAACTTTCTTTAGTTATTTCCTATAATTAAAAAATATTATCAGAGTTAAAAAATATATTTGAACACGTTCCCTGCCAAGCCATTTTTTTGCGCAACTTGTCGTACAAGGTGTCCGAGTGTACCATCTATGATACACGTGGCCTGATGGACAAGTTTAATGTGTACCATAAATGGTACACGTGGCATTTAGAACATGGTAATTGATAATTGATATAATTAATTATAATTAATTATAAAATAATTATTATAAAATAATTATTATATATAATAAAAATATAAATACTAATAATAATAATATTATAATATTAGAAATAAATTAAATAATAAAATTACAATAATTATTATTAATATTATTATTGAATTATTACCTCAATAGGATTTCCAGAAACGTCGAGTTCCCTGAGTAAATTTAATCTGACAATTGGCATTGAACTTAACGAATTATTTGTCAACAACAATATCTTTAAATTTTTCAAGTACTGAAATTGATTATCAGTCGTACTTTCAATATTATTAAATGACAAATCCAAATTATTCAGATTCGTCAATGGAAAAGGTGAAATAATCCTCAATCCAGAATTTGCTAATGACAATTGTCTTAAATTAGGTAAATAATGAAACAATTCTTTGAAATTTGCTTGAAGACTGTTATGAGACACATTTAAGTTTAATAATTTTCCTAAAGATACAAAAGAATTGTCTGGTAAAATGGTCAAACGATTACGTGCCAAATTCAAGGATATCAACTGTGATGTTGGAAATGCTGTTGAATCTAAATGATCAACAAAATTATCAGCCATATTTAAATCTCTCAAAGTATAACCAACTTCCATGAAGGATGGTGATGGTACTACAGTAAATTTGTTATGACTCAAATCCAATATTTCCAATCTGGTACCTTCGAAAACGTCCCTAGGCAATGATCGTATTTTGTTACCAGACAAATTCAATATTCTCAAATTTTTTAAATTTCTAAACTGTTCTGTAGACAATTGCGTTATTTCATTGTAACCTAAATCCAATTGTTGCAACGATTGCAAACCGTAAAACGATTGTTTTCTCAATGATTCTATTTTGTTATTTTTCAAATTCAATACTTGCAAATGATTCAGTGCAAAAGTTCCTGCAAACAAATAAATAATTAATTAAATATTAATAACTGATGTAAAGTTAATCATATTTGAGTTTACCTGGTTCGAGACCGTTGATAAAATTGTTACGAATGTCGAGTGTCAATAAATCAGGTGTACCACAAAATGTTTCAGTTGGTAAATGTGTAATATTGTTGAAACTAATATCAAGATGTGTCAAATTATTCGTAGTTGTACCAGAATCGATGAAAGATATTGCATTGTATGAAACGTTCAAAGCAAATTCAGAATCACCAATTTCAGAAAATGCATCTAAATCCAGTGTGGTCAATCTGTTGAATTCTAAATGTAAAAATTTGAGACTGGACAAACCATAGAACGCGTTTCTATCCATTTTATTAATTCTATTATAAGCCAATGATATTGTAACTAATTTAGGACAATCCATGATGGAATCAGACAAAAGTATTTTAATTCGATTCCCAGTTAAATCCAACGATCTCAATTCTGTCAAATTATGAAACGTTGATTCTGGAATCATTTCGAGAAAATTGTATCCCAATTTGACATCCTTCAATTCCGGATGTACGCTAGATAAAAATATTCTTTCCGGTAGATAATGCAATCTGTTAGATTCCAAATTGATGTAACGCAATTGTTGAAAGGAATAAAATGCGGTTGGTTCGATTGATTGAAAATTATTATTATCTAGAACCAACCAAAGTAAATTGTTCAATGGTCTTAATGCTCTTTGTGGAAAATTATCTGTAGCAAATGCAAAACTCAATTCTAAAATGTTCAAACTGTCTTCGATACCAACGAAACAATCATCGTCCAGTTCAGTGAGATGATTGAACGATAAACTTAGTTCCTTCAATTTACCTGTATATTAAATTAAATAGTATTATAAATATTTATATATAATAATTGAAATGTGGAATTATTTAAATGATTTTATCTTAATATATATAAATTACGTGTCACGTTGTTTATCCGCAATGGACTCGTAAACTACTGAACCGATTTTAATCAAATTTTGCACACTGTGTGCAGTTTCATTCAACTTGAAAGATAGGATAGTTTATATCATTCTAACAGATGGCGATATAAGGTAATTCGTTGACTTAAAGAGACGTGTGTATCGGACTGATTGTAAGCCACAGCAATGCGTGACGGGGCACCACTAGTATTATATATATTACAGTATAATCTCACTAATCCGGCACTTCAATAGACCGATACGTCCAATAATCCGGCACCCCCCACCCGCGCCACGCTCGTCCCTCTACGCCTATACGCTCCGTTGCCGCGTCGTCGTCTAACAGTCTAACCTCAAAACTTATCACATGCACGTGCGTACGTATTTACCTAGTTTATTGAAGTGAGAATAGTGTCGAGTGAAAAATGTCAAATAAACGGAAACACAAGACACTAGATTTGAAAGATAAAATGGACATTTTAAAGAAGTTAGATAGCGGAGAAAACATGTGCAAATTGGCAAAAGAATATGGTGTTGGGCGTGCTACTATACACGATCTTAAGAAAAAAAAGCAAAAGATAGTAGACCACGTGAAAACGATGGAATCTGGACCAGGAAAGCGTAAAACATTAAGAGTTGGCGATTGTCCAATGATGGAAAACGCTCTCTACATGTGGTTCATGCAACGACGTTCTAAACACACTCCTATATCTGGAGAAATTCTTAAAGCAAAAGCAATCGAATTTTATACAAAAATTACCAATAAAGATGATTTTCGTGCCAGCGATGGATGGTTGGATAAATTTAAAAAGCGATTTGGTATCCGTCTGTTAACCATATCGAGTGAAAAATTATCAAACGACGAATCTGCAGTACAACTATTTATCCAGCATTTTAAAGACAAAGTAGAGGAACTGGGTCTTCTTCCTGACCAAATCTATAATGCAGATGAGAGTGGTCTGTTCTGGAGACTATTGCCCAATAAAACATTCGTATTCTCTAAAGAAGCGAGCACACCAGGTCGTAAAGTGATTAAAGATAGAATCACATTCATGCCGTGTTCAAATGCTACTGGAACGCACAAATTGGATTTGTTAGTGATTGGTAAAGTTAAAAATCCCAGAGCTTTCAAGAACATTTGTCTGCCAGTCTGCTACAAAAATCAATTTACAAGTTGGGTCACGAGAGAGGTATTTAACGAATGGTTTCATAAAGACTTTGTTCCAGAAGTCAAGAAGTTTATGAAAAGATCCAACTTGCCTATAAAAGCTTTACTCGTACTTGACAATGCTCCAGCCCACCCAAATGAACAAGAACTTAAATCAAGTGATGGGAATATCCAAACCATCTTCCTACCACCAAACTGCACACCTTTAATCCAGCCGATGGATCAAAATGTTATCCAAAAAGTAGAGTCCTTGTATAAAAATAAATTGCTGATCCATATTATATCTCAGGATGGTGACATAACGCAGAGTCTTAAAGAATTGAATTTGAAGGATGTTGTATTCTCTCTCGCTCATGCTTGGAAGTCTGTTTCATCTGACTTAATCCAATCTTCATGGAAAAAGTTATGGCCTACAATGAATGTTGTATCAGAAACAGAAGAAACAGAAGAATGGGATCCTGAAGATAATCTACCTATTACCGATTGGTTGCAAACTTTATCAGAAAGAGGATTGGAGACAAGTGAAGAAAATTTAAATTCTTGGTTTGAAGGGATCGAAGAAACAGAACAAATTATGACAGATGAAGAAATATGTGAAGCAGTACAAGAAGAAGAAGAAGAAGAAGAAAGCCTTGTAGAAATATTGGAGGCACCAACTGCTACAACTGTAAAAGTTAAACCAGATAAAGCATTTAATTGTTTCAATACTTGCATAACATGGGCAGAAGAAAATGGCATATCTGCCAAAGATATTATAATTCTTCGAAACATGCGAGAAAAGGTTTTTAAGCAAAGACTACAAGTTGCACAAAAGCAGACCACAATTAAGGATTATTTTCAAACAACGTAATTACATGTTAATTTTGAGATATGTTACAGCTACAATTAAATCTGTCGAACAAGAACACAAATATGTACAAACATACATTATATTCTCTTTATGAAATGCTTTATTTTATTTATTACGATTTTTTCTCTATAATCCAGTAATCCGAACATTCCAATAATCCGGCACCCCCTGGTTTTTAATAGTGCCGGATTAGTGAGATTGTACTGTACTAAGTTTCTTATAAAATTGATTTAATATAATTATAAATTGTTTAATAAATTATAACAACATAAAATAATTATAACACAGGAAAAAATATAAAAAGTAAGGTTAGTTGTGTCACATGTAAATCTGATGTGAATATATCGAAATAATTGAATTGCAATATGGCGCTATCTATTGAAATCTTATCTTCAAATTAACAACAAAAAATAAATATAATTGCGATATAAACTAACTTAACTACTAAGTTAACAACACACAACATAATATTACAATAAAAATAGAATAAATAAAATAATAATACCAAAAAAAAAAAATATAAAAAGCAAAGTTCATCGAGTCATTTATAAATCTGAAAAAACCTGAAAAAATTCAATTGCAATATGGCGTCACCTATTGAAATCTTACAGTCCCTAAAAACCAAGATAACCTCAAAGTAACAAATCCTTAAATTCTCAATACAAAAAATACAAATAAATACTAGCAATACTATAAAATAAAAACAATAAACAAATAAAACTATCCAAAGTACTAAATTTAAAAAAAAAATCACAGAAAATAAACAAAAATTTCATTAAAATCCATTCAATAATTTTGAAGTTAATTGGAAACCACTAATGTGACTCTAAATTTTTATATATCAAGATATAAATATTATATATATATATATAATTATAAATAATATATTACCTGCTCCTTTAAATGATTCAGCTTTTAATTTGGTTAAAAAATTATTACGAAGCAATAAAATTTCTAAATCCTCAGCCCAATCAAAGTCACCAGGTTCCACATGTGAGATTTTATTGTAACCAAGATTCAAATGTAACAATCTTTGACACCTGTCATTTCCAAAACAAAAAAATAATATCATTAAACAATTAAAATACAAACTTGTACAATAATAAAAATAAAAACAAACCTGGCTAATGCAATGGCAGGTACAGCATCCAAATTGTTAGTGGCAAGTGACAATGCTTTTAAATTGTCAGCAAAATTGTTAAAACTGTCACTAGAAATATTTCTAATATCGTTATTGGCTAAATAAAGATATGACAATCTTTTGAGTCCATTGATAGCAATTGGTACACTTGGTAAATCATTATTTTCCAAATTTAAATATTCCAAAGTATTTTCTAAGCTACGAAATGCGTCCTCGTCGATATTACGAATCCCATTGGACGACAAATGAATTCTTCTGGCTTCTAAACGATCGAACATACCACTAGGTAATGTTGTCAATTTGTTACTGTCCAAATTGAAATCATTAACTTTAAGTGTTTGATTAGAAATCGTTTGTATTTCAATCCATTCGATTGAATTTTCACTGACATCGATCGATTCCAAACTTGAACTTTGAAAAACAGGTAATTCCAATTGTTTCATATCATTTCCACGAAGATAAAGCCAATCCAAATTTGCCAATTTACCCAACGACGATGGAAATGATTTAAGAAGATTATTATTCATACTTAATGTTTCAATATTAGGTGCCAATGATTCTTCAGATAAATGTTCGATATTATTATTATCTAAATTTAACCAAATCAATGATTCAAATGTTGAAAAGATTTTTGGTAATTCGATGATTGAATTGTCACCGAAAAATCCATTTCTCAATGTTGTTCTCAAATAACCCCAATCACCGTCTAACGATGTTAAATGATTGCTAGAAAAATATAATAAGTATAATAAGAAATTGTTAATGTTTTTTTTATTGTTATAGGTAAAATAATTATTGACAAACCTGTGCATGTTGAGCCAATTTAATTTTTTTAAATCTCCAAATGCTTTAAATGGTATTTCTTCTAAAGCATTGTAACTTAGATCTAATGAAATTAAACTGTCTGCTACCACTCTGTAAAATATAAATAATTATTATTAATATTATGAATAATAAATACTATAATAAATGATAATATAATATATTATAAATAGTAAAAAGAATCATTTACAATTACTATCATAAATATTATAATAATTTATGTTTATTATACAATATTATTATAATTATATTTTTTTATATTTTATATTTTATTATATTATATTTATAATAATTATAAATAATATAATAATAAATTATAATATTATATAATATGTATTTATTGTGTATATTATATTATATTATTATATTTATATTTATAAATATAAATAAAAATTATTATATTGTATATATAAATTTAGCCAATTGCAATGCAACCAATGAACTTGCAATGAAATATAAAATATATATTTTTATTATAAATTATTATTATTATTATTACTGTCCAAATTAAATTTATTAACATTGAGCATTTGATTAGAAATTGTTTGAATTTTTACCTGAGTGATGTATCACCAATACTTGTAAGACGATTGCTCATTAATCCTAAACCTTCAACACCAACTGAACTTTCTAATGCATCATTGTCCAATATTTGCATCCCAGATCCAACTATATCCAATTGTGCAACGTAACTAACCGAAACGTCTAAAATAATAATGAAATAAATTGTCAAAATAATGAAATATATTAAATAAATCAAATAACTTCGATCATATACCTTTAAATAAAAATAATAAAATAATATTATACTTACCAGGAAACCTTGCAAATGGTACTCTGATACAAGCAATATCCATTTTCGTAAAATCTTCGTCGTCTTGTACCCAACACATGCACATTGTATTAAATTTGCACAATGCATTGTAAGATCCAATCACGTTGGGAACAAAATTGATGAAAAAAAAGGCACAGATCAAACAAAATTCTTTCCACGATGACATCTACAACAATAATATTATTCCTATCATTTTTTTCTTCTTCTTCTTTAAAAAATATATTCACACACTTCAATAAAAAAATAATTAATTATTGCAAACCTTAATAATTATTGAAAGAATGAAACAATAATTGAGCTTTCAATGATGAAAGCACGAATGACACGTTCAATTGATCATTTCAAAAACATCCTAATCTATCGCAACATTTTTATTGATTGTTATAATTGTTTTTAAAAATCAAAAAAAAAAGTTATAAATAAAATACAAATTTTTTTGTCAATTCATCGATAAAAGCACACGTCGAGTTTACACACCAAAGCACATAGTTTTGCTTATCAAAGCGCAAGCCACAATTTTCACTGTGTGGAAACCCGCGCAAACGCACTGACGTTCAATTTTATGGATCGCGAAAGGGATGAGAATGAGAGAGAGAGAAAGAGAGAGAGAGAAAGAGAGAGAGAGAGAGGAAATAAAACTAGCATGGAAGACAGAAAAAAAAAAGAAATGGAAAAAGTCACTGCACGACTTATTCGTTGATTGTAACATTGACCATCGTAAAAAAAACCTTGAATGAACGTAACTACGATATCTAACATTGAAGTAAAGTAAAGGAATATAAAACATGCGTCAAGAAAAAGATTCTATGGGATTGTAATATTATTTTATGGTATTTTTTATATCGCAGAAAATGTTGTTCTTTTTTTTTTTTTTATTATTATAACAGATTGACATTTATTTTATTTTTTGTTATTGGTTTTTAGTCAAGTTAACAAAGTTATTTAACATTAATATCGATTACTAAGTTTAAATATTATTTTTGTAATGTTTAAATAATATAATGACACTTTTTGAGAAATAAAAATAATATTTAATTAAATTAAAATAATTCATATTAAATTAAATAATAATAAAATACTTAATATTAAATTAAATAATGAATTGTGTAATGTCTATTAGTAATAATAAATTTAATAATAATTGTAACGTTTAGAAACGTTAGTAAAATCAACGAATTTTTGATATTCCCGCCTTTTTAGAGAACATGGTGGCGCTAGTGTTTCCACACCTCCCCACTACTGTGTCTTATTAGGCCCAAAATAATATTTAATTAAATTAAAATAATTAATATTAAATTAAATAATGAATTGTGTAATGTTTATTAGTAATAATAAATTTAATAATAATTGTAACGTTTAGAAATGTTAGTAAAATCAACGAATTTTTGATATTCCCGCCTTTTTAGAGAACATGATGGCGCTAGTGTTTCCACACCTCCCCACTATTCCGTCTTATTAGGCCCATTTGAATAAAAAATCTCTTCCTATTCATTCATTGAACCCTTTTTATGACAGATATTAAACAATAATGCAAAAATGGACGTCATATTCAAGAAAATTATGAAAGATTGTCTTTCTGTATAAAAATGAGTTTAGGAGTCTGTAATAAAAATGGTTGAAAGTATCTGAGTTAAGAGGTTAGGTTTTATAATCAGAAGGCTGTTTGAAGAATTTGCATACACGTAATCGTAGTTGTATTAGTAGTAGTAAATTAATGATTACTATACAAAATCTTAGTTTACCCTGACATTTAAAAGACGTAGTAATTACATAAGTAAATTATCTAACTGTTATCATGATCATGGCCATAAACTACTCGTTTGAAATATTAAACTACAAATAAGATGATACATGCTGAAAAAAATGTTTCCGTATAGTTCGATCATCAACAGGAATAGAATGTTTAAAATAATAATAATAATAATCGATAATTTATCTATTACACTCGTAGACATATTTCTTTTTTGTTTTGTTTTTATGAAACATTTATTATATTATTTGTATAGAATGAATTTAGCTTAGCGACAACAGTTCAGCGTTCGGTGATATGAAGGGGGGTCGAGTCTTTGAGGGTTCGAATCTCAGGGCAGGAAAAAATTTTTCAGAAAAATTACATACACTTTGGAATGCATTATTTATAACTAATATATTTATTTGTACAATTTGTAATTAATCAATTATCGAATAAATTTATTTAAATTAAATTATCTACGAATGTTAAATAAAAAGAAACATTGTTATTAAATGATGAACGACGAGATATAATAATATATAAAAAAAATAAAAAGTAATGTGTAATATTGGCAAAAATGGATAAATGTAGGTTATATTGTTAGGTATTAGTTTATTAATTTATTAAATTAGGTTTATAATTATGTATTAATAATATTAACAATAGTTAGCAAATATTGTTAGCGTCAAAAGACAATTTCTAACTACAGAATTATCAAAAAAGCAAATCTATTATATTATAAAATATACATTTAAATTAAATAATCTAGTAATCTACGAGAATTTTATAAACAAAAAATTATTAATAAACAAAAAACAAACCCGATATAATAATACAAAAAAAAAATAAAAAGTAATATAAAATTGGCAAATATCGTTAGGGTTAATTATAACCTCAATAAACAATTACTAACTACTCGATTATCAACAATTATATTAAAATATTATTAAATATATATTTAAATTAAACTATCTATGAATTTCATAAACAAAAAAAATTCTATTAAATGACGAACAAACGATATAATAATACAAAAAAAAATAAACCAATGTTCAATTTGGCAAATGAATATATTTAGGGTTAATTATAACCTCAATAAACAATTTCTAACTACTCGATTATCAACAATAATTATAATATTATTAAATATATATTTAAATTAAACTATCTACGAATTTTATAAACAATATATTATTATTAAATAACAAACGTAATATAATAATGCAAAAAAAAACACTAACTACACAACTTTGCAAATGAATATTGTTAGGGTTAATTATAAGCTCAATTAACATCTTGATTTAAAATATTATCAACAATTACTAAGATTATTCTGATAATCCTCAATTATCTTCATCTTAACGATTATAGTTATTATTATTATTATTATTGTTATTATTTAAGTTATTTTATTCTTGTTTCGTTTCGTGGAACCTGCAGGTGAGCTGACACACCTTCGAAAATTTCGATACAACCGGATTCCATGGGTTTCATTTATGGCTAAAATGATTCTGAAATTGTCCAATGAGAATTTATTCTTGATCTGTAATTTTCTCTGTTTTATTATTTCATTTTCATCACCCTTTACAACTTCATGAACTTATTTTTTACACACCATATACACATACATGTATTAAAACTTTGCTGGGTTTGTCACAATGTTTCTGTTTTAACAAATGTTTGTTTTATTAATTTCAGATAATTTTAGGTTATAAAATATTTTTCTAAAGTGACACACAATAAAAGAATCTGTATAGATATAAAAAAAAAAAAAAAATAAATTATAAAATTGCATAGTAGGAACAATATTATTGTTAGAAAATAATATAAAACCATAATGAGTGATTCTGATAATATCAGAATAATTATTATTTATATTTATAGATATAAATCATGAATGAATGATTAATAAATGATTAATAAATGAAAATATGTTAAATAATAAATTATATTAATAATACAAATATTCCTAAAAACAAAAATATATAAATAGTTGCTTAGTATTATAATACTTAATATACTATTTAATTAAAATATAATTATAATTATATTAGTTAATAATATTAATTAATTTACTATTATATCATATAATAATAAATTATTTAACATTATTTACTAAATAATCTAATTATAATTAAATCAAAGTATTTTATATTATTATCAATCAATTTATTATTAAATAATAAATTCCATTAATAATATTGTACAATATATAAAATACATATATAATTAACAATTTATTATTAATTAATAATTATTGATTTTTTTATACTTTTTTATTTAATTATTAAATAATAAAATTGCATTAATAATACAAATATTCCTAAAAAAAAAAAAAAAAAATATAAATCACATCATCATGGTCAACAAATACTTTCAAACTAATCAAACTTTCTACATAACATACCAATATATGATACTTATGTAATAATTATTTTATTATTTAAAAAAAAAAACAAAAAACAAAAAGAACCTCAAAAAAAAAAAAGATATATATTTATATGTGTGTATATAATCGAAAAGTGAAAGGTGGTACTCTGTCTCCTTTATTTCAAACGCATAATCTGAATGACTATAAGGGGTCATATATAATATATACACAATATATATATATATATATATATATATATATATATCTTCCTCTTCTTCTTCTTCTTCTTCT